GAGAGAGAGAGAGAGATGAAAGGAGCGATAACAATAGTGAGTAGCGAGGTGACATGCTTTTGCACTTAAAGTTGCACAATTTGAGGAAGACATTCCACGCGCTGGGTGCGATTATGCATCCAAGGAACGAGTTCATTGTGTCTGTTCGGAGAATGGAGACTGGACACCCACGCGATGCCGTTAAATGACGTTAGCGCTCATCGCGCTGTTTCTCCAAGGTATCACTTTCGCGAACGTCGCGATGCTAATTGCAACTTTGTGCTAATTGCAAAAAATCGCAAGGAGATTGTTGTGGGAAGAAACACTATTTAATCTCTGATTAAGCACGGAAATGCATTGAATTTGCATGATGAGGATATTGAAATCTTCCTTTTAACAATTACATGCTCGCAAAGACGGGACAAACAAGTTAGATTACGCGATATAATTTGAAAAATGCTAGAGAAGAGTTAATAATCGAATGAATAATAATCAAGCGGATCTTAACTTAGACGTGTCCAATTTGCATTCATTTGTAACGCAATTAATGCGCGAGCAGTCGCTTTAATTATTTTCTTATCGTTTGCTGAAACATTTTTTCTTTTAAAAAAATTTACGAATGCCGCAAGTATCGTGAGAATTATAAGATAAACGGAATAAACTACGTTCAAGGAAAGCGAAATGGCGAATCGTAAAAAAGGATTATATCTGAGCTTGCGTAGTATCTAATGAAGGCATTGATTCCCACGCGATTATCCACCTGTTAATAAACAGTATTTCGACAAGACGAGACAGAGTTATTATCATCGTCCGTATTGCGCTCCAGTTCAATCGTTAAGTAAAGCTCGTCTTTCGTTATCTGCCGCACTTTAGGTAGGCGTTTATTGTCTGGAAATCCCTTATTACGCTGTTAACTTCTCGTTATCCGCGGCAAGTCATTGTCCATGACACGACAAGATATGAATTTTCATTTGCAGACGATAAGAGTCCGATAAGATATTATTAAAAAATGGGGCATGCGTGCTGGTCACGATTGAATATTAACGCGGTCATTATTAGTCATACGGTGACTGAAATAGTCATATAATCTGGAATACACACCGCAACCCAATGTAAATTTCATTTCAGACTTCGCGGAATATTGAAGTTCGAGGCATTGCAATGATGGCCCATAAAAAAATCGTCGCGAAAAATTTCGACAAGCGGACAGATTTTTTTTTCCCATCGTAATTTTCACGATTACTTCGCGAGTGAATTATCGTTGCCGGCAATTGCATTACATCCCGCCGGCGGAGTAGTCCGTACGTAATTTCACTTGCGCTTTCTTCACGCACTTCCACCAAAATTTCTCACTCGGCGCGATTCCCGCCAAGTCGTGCCACGTGCGTCGGCCACGTTCGATATGTAAATAAGAAAGGCGGTTAGACGTAGAAGTAACCCATCTGCGCAACGGGGTGTATCCTACCGTGATCGCGCTATAGGATTCTGCGACGGGGGGAATCTCACGTGACCCGCAACGAAACGCGCGGGGAAAAAAAAAAAAAAACAGAGAACGACACATGTCATCTCGTACTCGAGACTCGCGATCTCGACGGTGAAGATGCGCGGTCCCATTGAGTAACACTCGAATGGCTCTTAACGAAGATTCGCCGTGCGATTACGTACGACCGACGCGGCGGAATTAGCGTTGCCAATCGGTAATTGCATTATTCTCAACGAGGTTTCGTCGAGGGGACGTGCTCGAGAAAAGAGACGCGCGAAACCGTCGCCGCCGGCGAGCGACTAACTGAAGAAAATTTCTTGGAAAAATACGACGGCCGGCCATCGACAAGCTGTGAGAATCGAATTATGGGTCGTTCGTAGCTGGCTAGACTGACCCAGGCCAACCGGCATTACGCGTGGCTGAGCGTACCGGTTTCCGATGCACGCTACGGAAAATCGTCTATTCTATTCATTATTAGCTGCGAGTTATCAGTCGATTTGAAATTGTATGCGCAAAGCAAAATACTGGGGGGTTTTAATAACAGGAAAACGAACAATATCGTTCGAATATCAGAAATTAACATCCACGTTAGAATTAATTAGATTTTCATAATTTATTAATAGCCGTTTAAAGGGAAAGGGAAATAAGATTGAACCGATGTGGATGTTTGCCGCTAATTTAAACG